CATCTAATATGATCGGAATTTGATTGGAAGTTGATTCATTTGAAACATTTGTCTCACAGTGATTTTGTATTTCACTCGATGTGACTCGATGTGACTTGACGTGAATGATAATAGAACATTTGAACATTATTCAGCGTCAATAATATCAAAGAATTTGTTGACCTCTTCCTCAAAAACAAAACTGTTTCTTATTGCAGTCGGCAAATATATCAGATACCTAGTTAAATACATCGATAATTTTTGATTATGATTCTGGATTTGATTGTTTATGTATGTGTTCCTTTAATGCACTGATGAGCATTAAACAAGATTTAATGAACACATCTTCATTAAACTGAAGGATTGATTTTATTTCTGCGACTGAGATTAACATGTTGTTACATTAGTAATCGTATTATTTATTGTAACAGAGACTTGATAACTGAGGAAACAGGATTTGAGGTAAGTTGAACTGACGACTAAGTTATAACCCGTCAGCGATTGTTATGACTTTCTTTTTTTCCAAAAAGTTTTTAAGTCGGAATCGCTCATTACTTGTACTTGTAAAAACGAGGAACCACTGCAAGTGTATGGAAAATACGGTGTTGGGAGAGCAGTTAGAGACCAGACGATAAAACAATTCAAATGATAGAAACGCCGGAAGATGCAAATGGATGACTGTAGGATTTGCATGTGTTCTGTGTCAACATTTTGTAGTTACTCGCAGTAAACCTACTGTGGCGTTTGAATGAACTAATGATACCTTTGTACTTGTTGCATGCTTAATTTCGAATTCTAAATATAATACATTCATTTGTGATTATCTAGTAGTTCTTGATCCGATTACGTTATTGCTGGGATTCCTAGTTCATACGATAATTCAAATACTTATAAACACTACACCTACATACATACATTAGCACACTGACTAGAGAAATTACTAGATATGACTGTATTGTGAGAATAAATAACATTTGATATGAGGCTATCAGGACAGTAATTAAATTTAAAGTCACTTTGAACTTGTGCTTTACATTGACTAAGGCTTTCACTAAAAATAAACATTTGTCTCACAATGAAATCGACGTGACTGGATCATTAGAATGAATGAAACATTCCCTAGATTTCACCTTACTAGGAACTTTGTTGACTTCTTGTTCTGTCAAAAATTTGTTCCTTATCGTATGAAGAAATGCATCAGTTGCATGACAACCTATAATAAAGTTTACAAGAAAAAAAAACCCGGAATGAATAACAAGACCAATTACTGTTCCAAGATCATATATACATTTCCAGTATGTCTACTGTCTCAGTCATTCGCTGTATATAAGTCAATTTAATGCCATGAATACAATTTCTTACTTAGTCTGTTTTCTCCGACATCATTTTTGTACTAATCAAACATTAAGCGGAATGTTATATGAATTTGTAATTGAATCAAACGTTTGATCACGTTACAATCTATAAGGAATATTCATTTAACATTTTATAATTAATTACTTGAACTCAGCCTATACATGAGACATATGTAGTGACTTACTTTTACCACGAGAACACGATTGGTTTAATGAAAACAATTATTATTATTAGTATTATTATTATTATTAAGTAATCATCAGGACATTCTACGCAGCCAATCTTGCGTTGACCTTCTCTTGTCGACCAGCGATGTCTACTCAAACGAAAGATAAGTTACCTGAGTTGGCCTCTTCTATGTGCATTTATAAATTCAACTGCTGCTGTGGAGATAGCTATATAGGGCGTACTACCAGACAACTTAACCAACGAATGAGTGAACATCTACCAACTTGGTACATAAAGGGCCAGATAAAATCTATTCGCAGTTCTTTATTGGCACATCTCATTGATAGCGGTCATTCTGTAGATAAATCGAAATCATTTCGAGTTATCTATCGTATACCTCCATCATTTCCCGACGGAGTTCGTTCCCGCCTCCTACATATAGCTGAAGCCATTGAAATTCGTACATATAACCCCAAATATTATTATGACCAATTCTACCAGTGCTTGATTTAATGTGCTCTTTGTTTAACTGTGCTAATGACAGCTATATTGTGCTTCCATTATTATTCTTACACTTCGATTGTGACCTCGCGTGAATTCGGTTACGCTCTGTAACCAAGCTTGTATCCTGGAACGATCTCGGTATTCTTTCGATACCACGAGATCGCCAGCAAATATATCTCGACTTGGCCCATTAACTGCCTTCTGATATTTGGCTTCCGGGGGATATTATGGATATCCTGGCACGCGTCCCTTTGTAGTGGTGTTAATAGTCAACCGCGACACGACACCACACTACACATACATAACTTTGCTTAAACTATGACTCTATCATAGTTGATGTTATTCCAGTTGCATATGAATTGACATGGAAGCTGAGTTTTAATTAATAATTATCAGCTACTCAGGAGTGAAAATTTTGTGTATTTTTTTTTGAAAATCAGCATTCTGTTAGGATGAGTTCAGGATACCGTCAATTTCAGTTCAAATCTAGTTTAACATCAAAGTTAGTGATGTAGTTGAATTCATTTATACATTGACCCTTATAGTTCGCTTTGATCAGATAATGCAAGGTAGAATTGTTGACATAAGTAACCACAACTTTGCTTATCTATTCTGTACAGTATTCACGAGTGCAGATGTCCTAATCCATAGAAAATTTGCCTGTGTTACTTGTATCACAGAAACTATTGGATTGTTAGATAAAACAAGTGGATAGCTTGTCACTGTTGAAGCTATAGGAAATATGAACAATAGTGTTGCTTGTGTTAAACATTCGGAATAACTTCTATATCAAGATTTCATTGGTAGAATACCCTTATATTGTGGGCATACAAACAAACGATTTCGTGTTCACTGTTTGGATATTCTTTCCTTTTATTTTTGGCATGACTTTCTTTCATATAAACGTTACTCATCTTTTTAAAAGGGTTATACATTAAGCACATATTTGTTTGCTCAGTTGCTTGAGATGCTATTCCATTGAGAAAGATTCTTGTAAGTCACGAAAGTAATCTTCGAAAGTTAAACTATTGAAAAAATATAATTTAGATGATTGTTTTGTAGGTTTCAGGCTCAACGAACAAGGATCCTCCGTACAATATTCATTAAGGTACATGGTTCAACTAATAGCATTTCCCTGTCAATGTAGACGAAGTCATCTTTGTCAAATTCAAATAATAGTGAATTTTTCAGGATATTCTTTTCAATAAATATTAGATCACTTACTTTCTCATAACCGCAAAATGTTTTTTTATATGGATTGAAATTCTCATTGATGACTATGTTAAACTAACTCCTGATCATATGATTGTTTAGGATATTATTCTCATCGATTCCTGACGGTGTCGTATGTTCGTGATGCTCACGTATGTTACGCTACAACGTAACATTCGTCTGAAAGTTTCTAGTCTTTAAGTTGATCGCAGTGCATGATGAATGTGAATTTCAAATCTGAACAGTTTCTATATACCGACGTCCTGATAATTTAAACAAATAACTATTGAAGTAATTATATATGGTATGAGTAACAATCATAATTAGATCAGTTTACAGAAATGAATGAAATCCTGATAAATTACCGAACAAACAGGTAATTGAAAATAAGACATATAGTAAGTTAGTTGGTTATTCCTGAGGGTTTGAAATAACTAAATTCATGCCTTCCTTCAATGATTTGATGCATCATCATCTTCAGAATTTCATTCGAAGCAATATCAATTACACTGATATCGTGAACCGATCTAATTTAGACCAACATTGGTATGGGACTCCTCAGTAGTGTACATTCACAACCCCACACAGTTCCAGGTTTTCAATCATAGTCTAATATCGGTCGGTCTATAATTTCAATGATATTTAGCAATCTCCACAACTTCATGATGACAATCAGTAATTAACCAATCTGTAAACCATGTTTATTACTTATAAACTTCGACATTCTATTTTTTTTATAAATAAGTAGTATAAAATATTTAATCGATTTCTTTCATTCATTTGAAACAATTGTTTCAAAGTCCAGTTTCTTGATACATTCTTTATCAATCGATATATATATATATATGGTAGTTCACATTCTGTTGGGCAATGCTTTACTATCTACCTAATTAATTTTCAGAGATACTGGCCGTCTTAATAACGTAACATTAAGACAAAATAGTGAAGATTTATAGCTCTGGTGAATGATTTTGATGAAGTTTTGTTCTCTGAACTGGATGGTTTGGTCTTGGAACTCTCATCGTTCTTTTGAACGACATCATTCAGCTCAGAGAACAAAACTCCATCAATATTGAGATAAAAATAAAAGTGTATCTTGTCGAATTCTGATGAAGTGCTTAGCGTTTTGCACTCAAACAGTATATTTAAGAACATTGATTGTGAGGACGGATGAAATGTCTAAAGTAAGTGGATAGAGGAGAAAGTTGCTCTGGAAGTTGTGATCACGACTAGCATTTTACTAGGCTATCAGAAGCCAGTGAAATAGTCATATGCATGATATTTATATATCTAGTCGATAGCATTTATTTATCGAAATTATCCACAACGAAAATAACCAATGCAAAATTTGAATGGAAGAACTCCCAAATACTTCAAACTCTTTCTTAATTCTTTACTAGAATTTGGTTGTGAAGCAGGCTGATTCTATGTTTGCAGTTTCATGCATGATTTTGTATAATACACAATGATTCAAATAAAATGTGATAAAAGTATTAACTTGAGAACATTCCGACAGCGCAAACTACGACTGTAGTAAAGGAGGACTTGATGGGGAAAGCTTGTTTACTGTTTTAAGTAGAATTAAACAGTACCTTCATAAAATATGAAAATCATACATTGAATATATCATTTACATATCTTTCTTCAGTTGTCCTTTACATATTTCATCATTCTTCCCATTCTGTTGTAACTCCAATTGCTCTTGGATTTGGTTTTGCTTTTCTTTATTTCAGTCCTCTACTGGTAAACATCCTGCTTCCACTTCCTGCTACATACTACTTATGTCTGTCCGCATAAATAGTGCACACCACAATACTACTACTACTACTACTACTACTACTACTACTACTACTACTACTACTACTACTACTACTACTACTACTACTACCACTACTACTACTACTACCACTACTACTACTACTACTACTACCACTACTACTACTACTACCACTACTACTACTACTACTACTACTACTACTACTACTACTACTACTACTACTACTACTACTACTACTACTGCTACTGCGATTTGTCAATAGAACTTAGAAATAAACCTTATTTTTCTATTTGTTGCTAGGTTTGGGCTTTCTTTAACTCATGCATCTATCTCAGTTTTGTCATGTTTAGTGACAGACATCAAGTATACCACATTTAAATTAGCAACTAGAAATGTAATCCAACTAATGGTATGTAATACTCGAGAAAAATCGTATGCATTTCGATCACTATGTTGGAATCGGGAAGTCGTTGTTTACAATAACAGTTTTTTTCGTGATGTGGTATGATAGGAATCCAATAACTTTGGTGAGTAGTTGTTTCGCTTCTATCTATGTTCTAATTTCATAGCATACTAGTATCCTATATTCTGTCGCCGCTACATGTATGTCAATCTTTGGGATCTTATATAAGGAATTCAGATTAATCATTTTGGATAACTGCTAATTCATATGATTTGATTGCTCGTTTATGTTAGCACAGATGATAATTTTATTTCAATCCAAAGTGTCATAAGTACTCTACCTGAAGTTTGTACTGATGATGTCGTTCAGACGAACGATGAAAGCTTCACGACCAAATCATCCAGCTCAGAGAACAAAACTCCATAAAATTATTTGCAGAATTACTTAAAAAATGACTGATAGGTCTTGATAATATTTTCCTTTCAATGGTAAGATTTAAAAATTTTCATCTCGAATACAATTGGCTTAGAAGCATAGTGTTATTTCATTCATATGTTAGTAAGAATGAGTACAGAGAAGATAGTGAGACCACCAGCGCATGGGCCAGACCATGGCATACAATTAACTGATGCGCGTTGGTTGTCGTTGACGTTAACAAGGATCGATGATCTGTTCGATATTTAGTAACGCAACTGCTAGATTATTTGTCTCAGTGACATTGGCCCTACAATAATAATCCCAAAATCTTACATAAGGTACTATATATCTGGTATCTTGTTTAAGATAGTGAGTTAACAATTCAGAATTAAGTAAGTTACGGTCAATAAAGAATTTGATTTAAATAGATTTTAATTATCAATTGTTGAAAAATGATTTGTTTTGAACGTAAAATCATGTACGTGCACACTTAAGCTGTTGCTGCTCTGCAGACATCGTCTCCATAAAGTGTTACAGACCTGAAAGAATGCATGATAAACTTTGGTTTGTTCTGATGAAAACAACTATTGAATAATCTCATTTTTAAATACCGACAAACAAACATTCATTGCTGAATCGTCTATTTTATGTGATTCAATAGGAGTTCCTCGTTGACTAAGAAGTTGGAATGTATTATCAGGGATTCGCAATTCTGAGTTTCCGTAATATTATAACCCTTAAATGTTATAACAGATTTGGGTACAAGATATTTCCGTTTGATAACGTACTACTACTAACATTCCTCTTAATGGAATGGGGGGCTATTTAAAAGGAACTCAATTTCTCCTATCTCTCTTTTTGAAATGTTTCATTTCTGACAACGCCGAAGTTTTCAACTAGTATATTGGAAATGATTACATGATGAACAGGCGTCCGAAGTAAGATGAGGTTTAAGTTCTTTATATCAGTTGAATTGCATGTTGGTAGATAAAATTGCACCATAATAATACATAAACATTTTTTCTATACTTCTTGTATCAGTTCTACGGTGAAACGCCTGGGTTCACCTTTGGATAATAAATGCACATGAAAATGTATGAGCATTATCTTCTCGTTCAATTCAAGAGATTTCAACACAAAACTACTCACCATGACTCATTAAGTAAAAAATGGGTTCACTGTATTTATTTAAACGCATAAACATTGATACAAGGAGGCATTAAATAGATATACGTCTCATAAATCATTCGATTAATGTGAGGGCTAGGATGCTGACCGAGTGCCCAAACCGAAGCAGGTGATTTTCTTAAGGGACCACACCCCGAGCCTTCGACATAAAGGTCTAATCCACAAGAGAGTGGGGCAACGTAAGGAGATGCAGTCCTATGATAGCCGGTGACCAACAATTGGTTCATACGCCGTTTGTTCCCTCAGGATACTACAGGCCTTGTACACCATTAGTTTAGAATTGTGGTTTTCCAACTCCCCTAGGTGAACCCTCCCTTCCCTCGTTATGTGCACGTGACCATGTGATAGAGGGATGACTCTGATGGAGTTTTGTTCTCTGAGACGGATTGTTCGACTTTCCCCACTCTTGGTCGTAACAGGGCATTCATGGGTAGGGGACGGTCCATCGAACTAACAAATAATTATATTCTGAACAGAACAGGACTTTGTAACAATCCATTTCAATGACCTAACTACTTAATTCTCCAAAACCGATGATATACAGTCTAAGCATTCACTTTGACAATCCTAGACCAAACAGATGTTAGTCAACATGTGGCTTAGATATACAAAATTATGATTCCAACTATTACTGAAAACAAAATGTCCAATTCATTAAAAGTTATTTTATTGACAAAATTGAACAATAAGATGATTTAACAAACTTTTCTCATATGACAAATAGTAACTAGATGACAATTGGCATACATCAATACAACAATCATATTATTGTTTTAAAAAGAAGAATGAACTGGGGTGCCTGTGTGTGTGTGTGTGTTTGTGTTTATTAAAAATTCCAGGAGCGAAAAAACTGGACGAAACAAAAATGGTTATGATTAAAAGTGATAAAGACTAGAAGTGGAATATTATAGAAGTGGATTATATAATAATAATAATTATTATTATTACTACCATACACTAATCATTGAAGTGATGATACATTGTGTTAGAACTGAATTGTTATTATCCTTATGATTTTCTCTCTATACGATCATACTAAAACATTTTAAAATATTAAACTTGTGTATAATAAGAGAGTAAAGAATAACAGCAATATAAAGTGTATCCAAATCCATGAAAGGGAGGTTAAACAACAGAAAGAATACAGAGCTAAATTATTTATGTATGCATAATAAAAACTGTTAAAGACGGAATTAGATGATCAAAACTTCAAAACGATTACAATAAATAACGGTGATCATGTTGGATTGATCATATTGTAACATTAGAGACTTATTTATTAAAATCTATTTTGTGTTGTTGTTGTCGTTGCTGATGCTGTTGTCGCTGCCGCTGTCATCGTCGTCGTGGTCGTCGTCGTTACAACCACACCAGTTTGCCATTGCCGATCAATGTTCGGTTTAAATGTTCTCCTCAAAGGTTTGTGTGTATACAATGTTTCCGTTGAATTATGCCACATATGCCAACATGCTGGACAAAAATAATTAAAGCACTCAAATGCTCTACAAAAGTACATGCCAGGATATGAGAGACAACTATTACAAACAGCATCTTCTAAATAAGGATCGATTTGAATAGTTTTAATAAATTTCGTAGTACGAATATCCACAAAATTGGCTGTAATCGCTTTCATGTAACTTTTATGACTAGAGAAAATCACTCTCCCAGAACCTAAATATATAAAAAAAATCAATACAAGGTAGGCAAGTTAATGCAATCCAATCAAATTTTTAAAGTTAGTATATTTGCCTTAGAAACAAACTTATTGACTTGGTGGGGGGGTGGTTAAATAGATTTTATTTGTTGACTTTAAACCTGCATTTTATTGATCTAGACCTCCAACTATTGCATTATAGCTACTGATAAGAAAATAACCAAGAGGAAATTATCTCATCTCCTCGATGTATAAACCTTCTGATTTCTTTCTGAAGTACATATTCCGTCTATCACGACAAAAATATTTAAAAAAGAAATATCTCTGGTATCTTTGAAAAATTCACTTCCACCCTTTGATTATTTCTGTTTGAAAAGAAAAAGCCGACATACCCTTTTGATTAGTATGTTTATACAATTTTCAGACAAACAGATTATTCTTAATGGTTCATTCACTATAACAACTGAATGAGGTATTGCATTTGTTTAGTGATTATTAAAAACAACGAGCTTCACATCATCATTCTTCATACAAAACCAATCAAACTTGCGTCATTTACTCCTTTTTAACTCGGTTACCTTGGCCTTAATTTTCATGACTTATTGAAACTGTTTTTTTTTTGGTTGCTTCAGTATTTCCTTAGTAACATGGAATAATTAGAAATATGTTTTAGTCATTTCGAACATTCTGGATACTATTTAAGAAAACTTTGTTGTTCCAAATGTATTACCAACTTTAATTGAGTTGTGGTGAGACTATAATTACAATTGATTGATCACTGGGTGGTGATCAATCTCATGCTTGTCTAATCCTTATTAGTGCAGATCGAATGCTATCGATCATGTTGCAATGTGGCCACCAGTCTAGGCGACTCGACACTGCGGGCACTATGTATTGAGATTAGATGGTGGTTGGAGGTAGTCAACAGGAAACCCTGGACCCGGGTTTCGTGCTAGTTGGCACTCGTCAGCAAGGTGTACCTGTAATCTTGAGGGAACTGGTGCTCCCTGGCGGATTCGATCTCGTGTCACCCAGCTTCACAGTCAGAGACGTTACCACTGAGCTATCCGAGCCGTGACTAACCTCCTATAGGACTGAGATGTAATCACAATTGATTGATCACTGGGTGGTGATCAATCTCATGCTTGTCTAGTCCTTATTAGTGCAGATCGAATGCTATCGATCTATAATGCTATCGACTATAATTTATGGATGAACCAAGGAGATTTAAAATAGCAAGTCTTGCATTTTAGCATGAAATTCATTCACTCATTTGGTCAAATAGCGTCGTGCCATTTTACCTAATGTCAGTTCATAATGAAAAACCGTATATCTAATTCTTAACCTTAACCATCAACTGTGAATCATGATCCTTATTTTTCAAACTGTTTTGCAACACTCATTTAGCCCTACTAAATAGGTAGACACTCTCAAAGTCACTTTGGCGTCGCTTAAAGGTCGTTCATAATTTGAATTTAAACTATAGGATACTGATAAGTATTTTGGTACTTGGTAACATGTTTAACGGAACGCCGGAACGCTGAAATGACTAATAATAATGTATGAATTTGGAGACAAATAGATGTTTACATATAATTTA